GTTAGTAAATCTATATACTTTAGAAGAATCTTCTGAATAAGTTATCAGTATACATTGAATACATATTTCAAAAACTAGCATAAATTTTGAATTTTCCATCATTGGCATAAAACAAAAGAAAAGTTCAATAACAAACTAATAATTACAAATTTATTTCTAAACTCTGAGATTCTAGACTTTAATTTTTTATATTTTTGAATTTATAAACTTTTAATTTCTCTTAAAAAACTTTTAAAATTGTTCAATGATATAACTATTTACTATATTTTTATTACGATCCATGTTAGATGAATTTTATAATGCTACGTATATGAATCGTATCAGCTTTAATTGGTTGAGCTAATATATGGATCCAAGAATTTACCTATCATACCGAGATTCGAACACTGGCTAAAAACATCAAAGAGTTTGAGCAATCCAAAGAACAACTTGAAACCTGCTAAGTTGAAAACCTCATATTCTCAAAAATCATACTGTGAAAACACACAGAAAAAATATTTTTCTCAAGCTAAAATTGATTAATTTTGTAAAATTGGAATATCAACATTTGATGCAAGGTTAAAAGTAAAAACATTGTAATTTAAAAGTTGATAAAGTAAAAAACAACGACCATTGCGTTTGCTGCTCTCTTCTTCGGCTGGAGATCTTATTTTTGTTTCTTTTATTCCCGAAATACCCTTCTTTTGATTTCTCACCTAAAATCTCCCCCAAATTTGCAAATTCAACGACTCGTTAGACGACGAGCTCGGCGATGATGGAGCGAACGTACGGCCGCCGCAAGCCGGGCATGCCACCGAGAACCCTATCCGACTCTCTAAACGATACCCTTTCGCAGGCGGAATATCTCTCTTCCTCTTCGTCGCCGGACATCGAACCTATTGATTACTCTCTTCTTCCTTTCTCCAGTCAAGAGTCGTCCTCTCTCTGGCATTCTTCTTCGAGATCAATTTTCCAAGAGGATTATCCACAGAACGGAGGTGTACGGAGGGCGAAAAGAGTGAGGAACGGTGAAGCTTTCGGTTTTACTTCTACGTTGCTTGAGGCTCAGGAATTTGGTGAGTTGATGGAGCACGAGGACGAAGTTAACTTCGCGCTTGATGGGTTGCGGAAAGGACAACAGCTGAGGATCAGAAGGGCAAGCTTGTCGTCTTTACTGTCGATTTGCGCATCTAAACACCAGCGACGCTCATTAAGGGCTCAGGGGTACATTAGCCATTTTTATTAGATTTTTCGAGTTCTCATTCGTTTTCTGGGTTTGATTTTGTTCAATTTATTGGAAATTTATCGATTTGGCATGTGGGTTTTGTGAAACATGTTTGTTTGAGTTCTGGGTTATGAGTTTTGGATCGGATTGAGCTTCCTGTGAATCAGATTTGTGATGGATTTGGTTTTTGTGACTTTCTGAAGGGAATTAGGGCATGAAATCGTAGAGTATCATTAGGGTATTTGGTTGTAGTGAACTGGAATGGTATATTGTAGAGTAGGGTTCTTAACATGACTCCAAGTAAGGTTTTGGGAGTATGTCTCATTCTCTCCCAGAGACTGGAATTTCCCCATCAATATTCGTTGTTTAAGCCTAGAAGTCCTTGCGAGTATCATTATCATGAAATCTCACAAAAAAATAAATTCTTTATATTTCTGGGATCTAATTGTTTCAGGATCTCCCAGTCCATAATTGATGCGATTTTGGGTCTTAGCCTTGATGACATACCAAGCAATCTTGCCGCGGCCACCCTTTTCTTTGTGCTAACTGCTGAAGTAAGTGACTTGCAGATGCTGTTAAATATGTTTTTGATGTCTAATCTTTACATTGACATTTTTTGCTTGTTGTTTACCAATTCACATCTGTTGTATAACTTTATCAATTCATTTTCATGATTCCAGGGTCAAGATGAGCATTTTATGGAGTCATCTAAGTGCATAAAGTTTCTGATAAAGATGTTGAAACCTGTGATTGTCACTAGCACTGAAGGGAAGCCACGCAATATAGGATTTAAGCTTTTATCATTACTTAAGGATGTTGATACACCACGGGATGCAGCCAAAATGAATGATCCAAGCTCCAGTGTTATACTTGCAAGAGTTCAGGAACTTCTTGTTAATTGCAAGGAGATGAAAATGATTGATAGCTATAATTCTGAAACATCGAGGCCTGAGCTAAGTACGAAATGGGTAGCTCTGTTGGCCATGGAGAGGGCGTGCTTATCCAAAATTTCTTTTGATGGTAATTGAACTTATTGCCTCTTCTGTTGGAAGTAATGACTAGTTAACTATATCAGAGATCATCTTAGAGTTATTTAGATTTAGATAATATGATAACGAAAAGTTCCTGTTATTTTGCTTCCCTAGATTCGTTTTAGCAAAGAAGTGATAATATTGTCATCCTCTGTTTATTGCTAATAATTGGTTTATTTCCACCCATCCAGATACTTCTGGTTCTGTAAAAAAAACTGGAGGAAATTTTAAGGAGAAACTGCGAGAGCTAGGAGGACTTGATGCAGTCCTTGAGGTTGTATCGGATTGTCACGCTGTTATGGAGGTGTGAACCTGTGTGTTTTTTTTTGGTTTCATCTGCACTAATATCTTTTTTAATATAATAAAAAATGGGTTCATAAACTGCCTAGGACGTTGATAATTTGTGTAAAGCATCTTAAATTGCTACCTTTGTAATTTTTTGGGTATTCTCAGGGGGGTACTGTTGTTTTTCAATCTAAGTTAGTGCTGAAAAGTGATTCACATGAAGGTGCTTTCTATGTATATATCGAAAGAGAGAGATTACTTGTTGACCATTCTTTACCATTTTATAAGGTGCTTGGTTGATAGATTAGTGGCCAGAATCTTTTTACCATCCAATTCTATGATTTCCTTTGGGCATTAATAGTCTCTGGAAGTTTGCAATTGCATTATGTTATATTCAGTTAGAGTATCTAATACAGATTCTACATGCAGCGCTGGGTGGAATACGACGTACTTTCCGTCCAGGATAAGAAAGATAACCTGCATAAGCAGAATTTAATGTTGCTATTGAAATGTTTGAAACTCATGGAGAATGCTACGTTCCTCAGCACAGACAACCAGGTATCTTTTTATGTATTTTGCTTTCTAGCTTCATGACAATATTCTAGAGATTCAGACGTTAAATAATCAGCTATTATCAAGTTGCAGTATATATATAACTCAGTGCCTGTGATAACATTTACTGTTACACTTCTTTTGTTTCCAGAATCATTTGCTCGGATTTAAGAAATGTTTGGGTTCTCATGAATCCCGAATGTCTTTCACAGAGCTCACGATAAGTGTCATCAAGATGCTTTCAGGTTCGTAATTTATACAATGTCTGATATTGAACTGATACACGTTATGACTTCTGCCCATTCTTTCATCTTTTATCCTGATAGCTGGTTGTACTGATGGCTAGGTCTTTATCTACGTGGAGGTTTTCCAAGTCCTCACAGAAATTATGTAAATACTCACTGTTCAAATGGTGGTAATCCGGATACTATCTTGGGAGCAGATCAAAAAGGTATTTAATTGTAATGGCCACAATGAGTATCTAGCTCCTCCCACTCTTTCTCTATCACCCCCCTCTGGTCTCTGTATTTTTTCTATGTTAAGCCACTTCTATCTTTTACAGTTAACAATGAGGTCGTGACAATCAGTTCAGATACATGCTCAACCGTTGGCTCTATCTCCACGAGGAATGGGAGTGTATCCCAGATAAGTCAATCCATAATCGATTTAGATTTCTCTCCGACATCAATGTCGAGTTCTCAGTCAAGTGTGTCAGGAAATGAGCCCACTACGTCAACAACAAGAGCCGGTTCCACCATCTCTGGTTCATTTGCAGGCAGATTGGCGTCATTGGGTAGTGGCATTGCCAGAAGTACTTCAAGGACTAGTCAAGTTGGAGAACCAAGTTGTAAAAGAAATGGAAAATTTACTTCCCTTGAGGAAAGCCAAGATCCTTTTGCGTTTGATTTGGAAGATTCTAAACCTTCCAAGTGGGCAGTTGTATCTGTAAAACAAAAGAAATCTAGAACTCAAAAGAAGAAAGGTTGCTTCAAAGAAAGTAAAGACGACCGTTTGAATCACCTGTTCTCAAGCCAAGAGGAATCATCAAACCATAGGCTGGATTCCCAGGAAGAATCAAGTGACAGAGACTGCACTATATTGCAACAGCCATCTTCTTCTACAAATGACATTGACAAAGAATGTCTATGTCTTTTAACTGATTGCCTTCTAACAGCCGTAAAGGTAAATTTTCTTACAGTCTCCTATCATTTTTTGCTGGTCTGAAGCGATTCCCTTAGCCTTTTAAATCATGATTATCTATTTGCAGGTTTTGATGAACTTAACAAATGATAACGCCATTGGTTGTCGGCAAGTTGGCGGTTGCAAAGGGCTTGAAAGCATGGCTGAACTAATTGTCGGACATTTTCCGTCTTTCACTAGATCTCCGCTATTCAGTGAGATGGAAAAGACGGGATCATCCCTTCAGAAGAAAGACAAACATCTCACAGATCAGGAGTTAGATTTTCTTGTTGCCATCTTAGGTTTGCTGGTAAATTTGGTTGAGAAAGACAGAGTAAACAGGTACAAAGAAAATCTCAGCTTTTACGAATGCAATCAGAATTTAACATCATCATGTGGTTGAGTCAATACAAGTTAAAGTAGTGATTACTTACTAGTCTTCTGTTTATGATCCAAGTCATATTCTTTTGTCTTCAACCCTTAAACACAGCAGGCATGATATCTCTTCTTTAATCAGGTAATTGATTTTTGCAGATCACGACTTGCCTCAGCAAGTCTTCCTATTACAAAACCAGAAGGGTTGCAACAGGGTGAGCAGGAGATGATTCCTTTACTATGTTCTATCTTTCTCACCAATCAAGGATCAGCAGACACCAAAGAAGAGACAACTACTTTCACCTTAGTGAGTAGCAGCATCTAACTATTGTTTACTCGGACTTCGAGATCCCCAGAAAAGGGTTTGTTTCTATTTACTAAACCTGCTGTGTTTTTTTCTTAAGGATGATGAAGAAGCTGTTTTAGAAACCGAAAAGGAAGCCGAAAAGATGATTGTGGAGGCATACTCTGCTCTACTACTTGCCTTTCTTTCAACTGAAAGGTTGTTTTCCGTTTTCAGTCTTATTATACATGTCATAATCCATCTAAACTTTCTCAAGAAACTAAACATGTTCTTGGATCCACTAGCAGTAGAAGTATACGCAACTGCATCAAAGACTATCTCCCGAAACGCAATCTTGCTATTCTTGTGCCGGTCTTGAATAGATTTGTGGTATGTGCCTTTTATCTCTGCCTGGTTTTAGGCTAACGAAATCTCAATATCCTTTAGTGTGAGTGTTTCTTTGTTTGCTCAGGAATTTCACATGACCCTGAACATGATCCCTCCGGAGACACATAAAGCAGTGATGGAAGTGATTGAGTCCTGCAAATTACCGTAAAAACGGTTCGAGAAGAGCAAATTAGTTCTTCATCCTCCTTTTTCTCTGTACAGCTCCTGCTATAGAAAACTTGGAATGCTTTGGTGTGATAACTGATTCTGGTGATCATGGTGATGTATGATATAAGGCTACAAATAGTGTGTTAGTTCTCTGTTTTTAGAGGTTTACGTTGTCTGTCTCGGCTTAGGGTTGTCTTTAGTTGTCTTTTACTCTCTCTCTTACTCTCCATTCTTTTGTAGTTTTCGTGACCAATCATATATACAAGTTTGTTCTACGAGTTTCTTTTACTTTTGTGATATGAACATCTACTATCTTGCAAATAACGACTTTTAACTGCTTACAATAGGTGATTTACAAATGTCATTACCTAATGATACTTCGCAGAATGTTAAGAGTTTTGAAATTTGAATCTACATATATTTTTGAAGATGTTAGAAAACTATTGATCAATCTATGAAAATTTATGAAATTCATTTCAGCCATGAAACCTTTTTCCTTCTTCTGGATTGGTAAGTTATGTTTCTTGACCTCTTCTCACACTCTCGTCCACTGTCACCATCCGTTGACCTCTGCATTCGTCTCTGGACAGAGCTCGCCGTATTGTCACAAGTAAGTTCCATTTCATTCGCTTGTACGTTGCAAATCTGGTTTTCTATGCGTCTGTGGTTGGAATTGTCATGGCCTCGCCTCATATAAGTAGTCTACTTTCTTAATTATTGGTTCAGTGAGAAGAAATCATATCAGATTACAACAGATTCTTGGTAACTAGATTAACAACATTTTGTTAGATATTACATATCTAAACCACTTTCTTCAAATGTCCTCTTAAAAGACTGAACATTTTTGTGACATTTTTTCAGGTGAAACATACTAAGAGGAGTGGTTTCCTAGAATCAGTTTGATCTCATCAGCCAACTCTTTAGTAAGCCGATCAGCTCGGTCGTCGTGTCCCCCAGCAAAGTTGTAAACTCTGAATGCAAAGTTAAATGCCCTCCACAGCGTTTTAGCCCATCCTACAGTCTTACTCTTCATGCTCGCCTTTGCCTCTCGTGATTCTGCAGTATGCGACGCAATCTTTGCTTCTCTCTTTTCCTGTGAGTTTAAAACCAAGAGACTCTGGTTAAAAGAGTTTCAGAAAATTGATCAAATGTTTGCAAAGTTTGTTGTAAGTTTGAAAGTTTTGATCTTTGCGGTTATAGTCTTACCTTCAAAGCCTGTTCCATGCAGCCTGATGAGATATCAACCATTAATTCCCTAATGTGGACAAGGATATTGAAGTCGAAATGTATATTATGGCTCTTGAAATTCTTTTCATCTTCTGCTTTGGTCTGGTCTAGCTTTTCAATCTCTTTTCTGATCTGTTTTTATCATTCTCTTCAGATCAATTCAGGTACTTGGAAGACGAAAGAACAAAAAATGGCGAAGAAACTAGCAAAATTAGTGTTCCTATGACTTGCCTTTGCAAAGTAGCGTTCAGTCTTTTCGAAAAGTTGGTTCGCCGGAGACACTATCTTCCAGTTCTTCAGCTCTTTGATCATACCCTGCAGGTTCGAGTACAATTTAGCAGCCGTTCTTATCACGTCGAGTTTACTCTCCGGGAACCCTTCACAACTCTTGAGAACCTAATCAAAGTACAAACATTTTTGTGATCACAAAATGATAACATGATGGAGAAAGCTTGTGACAATCACTCTGTGTTTGTTGTTGTATTCACTGACCTTTGTTTCATCTGTTAGTTTCTCAAGCACTGATTCGATATATTGATGAAATGTCAGAAGCTCGGTAATGTTCTTATTCCGGAAATTGGAAATCTCTCTCTTAAGCTCATTGATTGCTTTCATGTACATTTGAATATCCGCTTCTACTTGCTGACAATAAAGAGACCTGTGTCGACAATCAAACGTGAAGCAAGCATCAGTTTCTGAGGTTGTTGTGTGATTATGTTGCTTATAAGTGTAATGTGGATATTTACCCCTTTGTCATCTCAGCAAGAGCATCAGCCATTCCTTTCTTTCCGCCGGCTGGAGCGCTTCCTATCCCGCCTTTGCTTCCTCCGCCCACGCCACGGCGTTTTTCTTCTGGATTCTTGCCTTCTATTATCGCCTTGACGAATCTGTAGAGTTCCGCTAATTGGGTTGATCTCTTCAGTTTAGCAGTTGCTTTCTTGGCTCCCAAGCGAA